GGAGATCCCCAGGCCCCACCTGGAGGCTGGCAACACTATGAGTGTTTCTTCACTAGTTCGGGCCTGCGTTGTCATTCAAATAACTACCCCAAATGCCTTTGCACAGGGGAACATGGCCGAGCAATTCAGAAAGGGATCTAACAGTCCACTCCGTTATCGTTAATGAAGCCCATGTTGGATCAGGCCAGTGCCCCACCCAGTCCAACACTCTGTCACACAGTGGCCAAAAATACCAGGGGCCATCAGGAGGTCCAGCAGTGGGGCCAGGACACTAGGAGCCCTCCCACTGTTGCCCCCTCCCCCAAGCAGTGCTCCCTCTAAGCTGAGTTAGTGTGAGCTAGCTCACAGTTTTTTAGCCTCCAGCTCACACATTTTTGTCTTAGCTCCGGAAGGATGACTCCAAAGCAAACTAATGTATGCAGTAGCCAAATCGCTCGCTCACAACTTTAATGCCAGTAGCTCACAAAGTAGAATTTTTGCTCACGAGACTCCACAGCTTAGAGGGAACATTGCCCCCAAGCACCAAAGAATACAGAGCATCACTTGCCCCAGACCGAGAATTCTCATCTATACCTCATGGCTAATAGCCACTGATGGACCTCTGCTCCATATGTTTATCTAATCTGCCAGTGCTTGAACATCAACAGTGAGTTTATGCATACAGATGTGGGAGGAAGTCCAAGGGGGTGGGAGGAGATTGCCCATCAGGTCATGAGAACAGCATTGTTCCCATTCTCCAAAACTGTGCTTAGAGGCAAAGAGAAGCTGGTGTGCCACTCAGGCTTGGATAAATGAACTGAGGGCACAACGCCACACTTCTAAATATTTCTCTCTATATTTACTGTCCTAATAAGCCATTACCAGTGCTCTGAGAGCAATCCAATAAGAGCCACACTGCCCTTTTCGGAGACCCCAGCACACAGCCGATCAAGATGATGTTGAAATAAGGCCTTCGGTTTCAATTATGGATATTTGGAACCATCACTTTGGAACACTACAATCGGGACCTCGAGTCCGTCAAAGGCGAGAAACAAAGCCCGCAGAACAGTAAAGCAGTTCCTCACTCCCCTCACACAATCAGTTAACCTGAGGAAAAATTATATGATAGATGCCCACACCAATCAAAGCAAAACAAAGACAGTACTGATAGATCCAGACTTGTCCCCCTTGCTTGCCGCCTAGGGGTGCCAGCCTCCAGATAGGACTGGGGGATCCCCCAGAATTACAGCTCATCTCCAGACTACAGAGGTCAGTTCCTCTGGAGAAAATGAATGTTTTGGAGGGTGGGCTCTGTGGCATTGTACCCCAATGGAGTCCTTGTTCTCCTCAGGGTCCAGCCCCAAATCTCCAGGAATTTCCTTAACTAGAGCTGGTAGGGTTGCCAGGTCTGGGTTGGAAAATACCTGGAGACTTTGGGGATGGGTCCAGGAGAGGGTGGGGTTTGGGGAGGCGAGAGGAGGGGCCTCAGCATGGTACAATGCCATGGAGTCCACCCTTCAAAGCAGCCATTTTCTCCAGGGGAGCCAATCTCTGTCCACTGGAGGTAAGTTCCAAAAGCGGAAGGTCTCCAGGCCCCACCTGGAGGCTGGGCACCTGGTCTACACTACCCTACCCCCCCCCAATCTCCTGCTGGTCGTCAGTGGGGAGCTGCCATCCTTATTACCACCACCACCCCAGCACAAGATGAAGAATGGATCTAACATTGTTCTGTGCAAATGGCAATTTGATTGGAAAGGGAGAGCCATACCCGCAAATGTTTGCAAAAATGCTATTTGTGAATGGTTGATTGTTTTCTAAATTGTATTGGGGATATGTCCTCAAAGGCTTTCACGGCTGGAGTTCATTAGTTGCTGTAGATTTTCCGGGTTGTGTGGCCGTGGTCTTGGCATTGTAGGACCTGATGTTTTGCCAGCAGTTGTGACTGGCTTTCTCAGAGGTATAACACAGAAAGATGGAGTAGTCTCTGGTAGGCAGGTAATTTACATCTACTCAGGAAGGTGAGGTAGGGCTGAGTTCTCCTCAGGAAAGCTCCTCCATTAGCATGTTCACAGCCTGGGGAACTCCTACAAGATAATGACTCAGCCCTACCCCACCTTCCTGAGTAGATATAAATTACCTGCCTACCATTTTTCTTCTCACCTTGAC